GGTTGTCTCCCCAAAGACTCTCAGATTTCTTGGTCCACTCCGAGGCACTAAACAAATAAAACACAATAGAGTTATGTGCCTGCCTGTGAGCCTGACAGACACGGGGAGGAGAGGAGGGGGAGGAAAGGATTTTCCCCTGGCCAGATTAAGGAAGTGGCGCTCAGGTGTTTCGCCATTCACTAGGGTTTCACTCCCTATGCTGAAACACACATCTTCTATGGTTTTAACGTGAAAACATAAACCTAGAAAGTGCTGCATTTCAGAGCTACAGTTGCATGCTGAACATGCAGTGACATAAAACTAGGCCTGAGCCTAAATGCACAGACTGGGAAAGAAAGGGACGATTTTAACCACTATAACCACTTCCTGTTAAGTGAAATATAGAGGCCAAGTCCTCATGTTTGCTAAGTACCACACACCTCACTCACTCAGAGAAGCCCTACCAACTGAGTGACAAGGGAATGGGGTGAAGAAAGGATTTCTGCCTCACGAGTTCGGCCCTGGGCGGGGCTGGGGTTCCCCTCTCCATCCGAGTAGAGAGCCACCACGTTCACGGAATAGGGTGTGTCCGGAATCAGCCGATCCAGGTGCACCGTGCGGGTATTTCCCGGCACCACAATCTGGAGGGGAGGAAGTGCCAAATTCTGCCTGATGACAACCCATATGCTTATCAGGTATTGTATTAGTCAGCATAATAACTTTGATCATAAAAGGCTGAGCCCAGACACGTCGGAAGCCAACTACTGTGCTTCTTCATGAGATCTGCCCAACCCTCACCATTAGATGCAATTTATCCTCAAAACTTTCCTCTCCACCCTAACCGGATTGGCTCAGTGGATAGAGTGTCAGCCTGTGGACTGAAGGGTCTCAGGTTCGATTCCGGTCAAGGGCATGTACCTGGGTTGCGGGCATATCCCCAGTGGGGGGTGTGCAGGAGGCAGCTGATCGATGTTTCTCTCTCATCCATGTTTCTAACTCTCTATCCCTCTCCCTTCCTCTCTGTGAAAAATCAATAAAATATATTTTTAAAAAAACTTTCCTCTCCAAAGTTAGTTTGCACTTGATTTCAGTAACTTCAATCATCTTGCATTTATGTTTATTGTAAAGATTATCAAATATAAATAATATCCAGGGCTGTTGATAGTAACCCAAAGAACACTCCTCCTGTTGTTAGACATTCATAAGAGATTTCTACGCTGGTGGGGGAGAAATTCTGTATTAAACTAGAGAGCAACTCTATACAATGGGTAAGGACAACATTGTCCGAATATATCCCATCATACACAGAAACATGCAGGTCAATTTTCTTATAAAACACATGTATTGTTCATCATTGTTTATCATTATTGTTTCTTTTTATAAAGACCTATAGTAAAGTTAGTTTATAAATTTACTTTTTCTTACGTGTTCTGATATTTTCTTTGTTCAAATTAGTAATTTCTGATTTCTAAATTATCAATCTACTTGCAAAACTACACAGTGCCATGTATCGAGGAGAGACTGAGCAATTTGTATGAGCCAGTAAAGAAATACTCTAAGTTTCATAAAACATTTGTACTTTACAACAAAAGCCCATATTGACAAGGTTTAGCAATAATTTGCAATTTATCACTGGGGTTTTTAACTCATATTACTAATTTGCATTTTCCCCAAAATTCACTTTTGTTAACTAACTTTATAATGAATACATCTGCCTTAATTCATCAAAAGCAATCATTTAACCATTATACCTGGCAGGCATGTTTGTGGTTTGCATTCTCATAGGCTACTCAGCATGACACAGACATGAGCCTACATTCATCAGGAAATGAAGTTTCCCTGAGACTCAGTGCCACTCCAACACTAGCTTATTGTCCTGGGCCAGCAGCCATGGCAGGAGGCGCAGGAATCTACAAAATTCACTGGCTGCGCTCTAAGAAGACAGAGTTACTTACAGATTCCGAGGGTCTGGTGCCATCCACAGGAGTGTACACAATGCGATACTGCTGCACAGGCCCAGGGGCAGGGTCCCAGCGCACGTCCAGGTTGTTGGGCGTGGGGTTGTACACTTGGACGTTTCTCGGCAATCCTCTCACCACTGAGGAAGGAAAAGCCAAGGCATATTTCTTAAGTCTGTTTATACGTGTGGAGTTTTTGTTATCACTTCTCCAGAACTACACTCTGTAAAAGGGCAAAATACTATCCTTAAACTCCTAATTATCTATACAAAAGCAGATTTAAACTCTCTCCAAATCCAAATCTGCCAATGTGAGCCAATTATGGCCTTTATCTATATGGAAGCAAAGTTGTTGCCAATACAAACAAGCTAATAATTGTAGTAATGCTCGGCTGGCCATAAAGGGATAAGGAACACAAAACTGGGAAAGAAGCTTCAGTTTTCCAACATGGGCAATGGTGAGACAGAGAGGAGGAGTTTCATAGTGTTTCCAAGTCTATGAATGTCTTCTATGATTAAAACTAAAGGCAAAAGGAGGGAGAAAGAAGATCAATTATCTGCCCCAATAGGGATTTAGAAAAACATAAACTAGATCCACATATTACCCCCAAACTGTAATCAAGTCAATAGCGTTATCTTTCTAGACTACTAATCTTTTATCAAAAGAAGCCATCCATACTTGCTTCATTTCAGCCATCAGAAAGTATATTTTTAAAGTCAAAGAAATATTTATAAGTACTTTCAAAAACCTGTAAGCAATAATACAAAAAACAAACAAACAGTAAAACCACTATACCAGCCGTGGGCCAGATCCAGCCCGTTTGAAATGAATAAAACTAAAAAAAAAAAAAAAAAGACCGTACCCTTTTATGTAATGATGTTTACTTTGAATTTATATTAATTCACACAAACACTCCATCCATGCTTTTGTTCCGGCCCTCCGGTCCAGTTTAAGAACCCATTGTGGCCCTCGAGTCAAAAAGTTTGCCCACTCCTGCCTATCCACTGGTTTTCAAGTTAATGGCAAAGGAAAGCACACATATTTTTAATGCCAAAAGGCACTTCTTCAGCAAACCAGAGAATGTGCAATCAAGCAATGTCATAAACAGATTTCAATAATTCACACTATACAGCCAATTACAAAACATGGCTTCACACAGATTTATAAAGCACAGAGCAAAGTTCAATGATTTTTTTTTTTGTCAGTGGAAGAGAATAACCAAAGTGGCATACTAATTGTTGTATATACATTTCTAAATCTTAAAATTATTATTTCAGAGCACAGATGCCATTGTAAATTTTCTATTTCATATACTAAATTAGTAACAGTTGATGTTTGGGAGGTGAATTATGGGTAATTTTTATGTTCTTATTTTATTATTCTGAATTTTCCAAACTTTTTCTAATGGGTCTATATGGCCTTTATAAAGAAAAGCAAAATTTATCATGAAAAGGCTAGATTTTTCTGCCTTTTTACTTACATGTCCTTGCAGTGTCTGAGGTGCGCCCTCCATCACCTTCAGTGTAAGAGGGAACTACTGTGATAGTGTACGGGGTGTCTGGCTGCAGATTCCTAAGAATGGCATAATTGGTATTCCCAGGGATAGGTACCTAAAGATTGTAATAAAACATAAAGCACTTGATTTTAAAAAAACTTGTAAAAAAATAATAGTACTTCAAACAATAGAATATTCAAAATCCTAACTCAAGACCAAGTCAAGAAGCAAGCTCTGTAATATTGGAATATAATGCCCTCCTATAAACTGTTACATGAGGTTATGAAAGCTTCTGTAGACCCCCCACACTCACCCTCAGCTCCCCCTTCTGGAATGATTGCTTTCCCCAGCCCCAACTCCCCACAATCTCCTTCTCACTCGGGCACTAAGGCCCCATCCTACGCTGTTAAGTTCTATTAAATGAATGTAGACTTCATGGATGCTAAAACAAGTCTGTTAACTCTGTTAGCTCCACTCATCCAGCTACAGTTTAAACCCGCACATTTTTCACTACAGGAAGGAATTACCAGCTCCTCGGGGCCACCTCCTGTTGGTGCATAGAAGAGCTTGTACTGACGAGGATTTCCATCCGCGTGGTCCCAGCGAACGTTCAAGGAACTGGTAGAGGGGTCATACACTCTCAGGTTCCGCACAGTGTTCAGAGGTTCTGGAATGCACAGAAATCACAGCACTGGATGATCCTAACAGCCACGCACACATGAAACACAGGTTCAGTGGTATCTCCCAGGAGCCCTAGAACACAGCAGGCACCCCATAGTAGGCACCCCACCAATATCTGTTGAAGCAATGAATCAATGAAAGAATGTCTGCAATAACCTGGTACACATGTCTCTTCTCACCACAAGGTATTTTTTTTTAATCCTAGAAAATAGTAAGTGACTTTCTCCACAAACAGAGAGTTAACTCTAAGCAAGGATATTAAATCAATATTGTTTTTAATGCATTTTCAATATTATTATTAAATCAATATTATTTTTAATGCATTTTCAGAGATTAGAAAAACTCTGTGTCACCTCAGTGTTTCCGGATAAAGATGTGATTTCGTTCCAATTGCAATTATTAAAGAAGCTACAGGAGTCTGAGTTCACTTACTGGTCTTGCCTGTTCCCGTCATGTGACCTCCTTCGCCATCAGAATACAGGGAGGTCACAGTGATCTCGTAAGGAATGTCAGGCTTCAGTTTCTGCAGGAGCACACTGTTCTGTCTTCCCCCTACTGTGGTCTTGAGTAAAACAGGAATACGTGTTAACCTTGTTCTCTCCATCTCACTAATCTGTTAGAAAAAGCTCTTTCTACAAGGGAGCTGTTCGAGACCCTTGCCAAGATCTGGAAACACATGCAACAGTGAAGGTTTAGGCGATATCTTATGGTTTAGGATATATCTTATGGTTTCACTCTAAATATACACTACACACCTCAACATAAAGGACCCTAAGCCTCACACTGGCAACTCAAACAGATATTTCAACTTGCTCATCGCCAGCACTGAAACCAAAACACATTTCACAGGTCTCTCCCCACAGAGGCATTAATCATCAGTGAACTACAAAGGAACTTGGAGATCGCAAGGACTTGCACACTATTAGAGGCTCAGCACCAGTCGGTATTATCTTTACCTTTTTTACAGATGTTTTTTATTTGCTTTAGAAACACATTAAAATGATTCAGCAAAAGATCTGAAGCTTTTGGTGTTTCCCCCCAAACAGGGCCACTCTCCGAGCATTAGCTGTGTAAACTACGTGGCAGGCCCCTTTGCCACGACACACTCAGGCAGCAGTTCCCAGTCATCTCCATGCAATATGATGCTTTTTTGACTTCCTTCAATCACAGAGTTCGTGTTTTAATCATTGCTTAAGGCCATCTAGCTATCTTGTTGAAAGAAAATTTGTATGATTTGTTAGCAGTTTACCGAATTCAGATGTTTGTGCCACACTAATAAAAATCACACGAAGGTGGCACACTGCCCACCATGAGTGCACATGTGGGTGGCTGGATGTGCTAGCACTGTCCAGATGTTTCCTATGTTGCACTCATCCTTCCAAGTTCCTTCCAAGTTCACAGAGGAAACCTCAGTGAATCACTGTAGTCATCCTAACAGAAGCAAATTGAACTACAGTGGCTAATTTTAATAAATTTAATATTTGAAGTGATGAGAAGAAAGTGTCGATGTCATAGCAAGCCTTTGATACTTAGCAAGTCTGGATGCATCCACTTAATAGAACTAGCCTATGACTAAGCAGAAGGGAGCCTGCCTACTTCTTCCATCCAACTCTGCAAGATAATTCTAGCATCAGTGATTTGTTACTTTCCTTAGTTCATGAACTAGCATTGAAATGAGAAGATCCCTAACAGTAACGAACCTTAAGGGATCCTCAGCTAAGAGAAATGTTAAGGTCAAGTTCATCCTGCTATGCAGTTTTACCTAAATCTGGCCTGGCACAGACAAAGTAAGTTATGTTTCTGATATTAAAATATCAATCCATCAAATGTATCTTACTTTTTACAAAAGCTATATGAATACAGTTGGTATTTAGTTTACTCAAATAGACATATTTTAATCCAAATGTATCAAACCACTTAAGTCAAGTTCTATGGAAACCTCAAAAGACAAACTCAAAAGTCACAAAGGGGAGGGAAGGATTTCTGGTTCAGCTAAACCCACTTACTACTATAGACTACCACAGACCTTTCACTCCTGCCAGCATCTACCTCTGCAGACCCCTCTAAACTGGTAAGAGGTATGGCCCACTTGCTGGAGCTCAGCAAGTCAGATGATTAAGGGTTAATGACTCATCTGTCTCTCTCTAAAGCTACGTGAGGAAACATTATAGCACCCCCCACCCCAAGTCAACAAAATACTCGACCTCACTAAAAGCATCACCCCATCTGTATAACAATCACAGTGCTTTGTGAGCTAGGATAACGTGTAGTTCTAGCTCATAAAAACAAAGCTGTAGAAAGTTCAAAGAGAGACCACTGAAATCAGCAAGGTGAATGGACAAGGACTCTGTTAAATACGGGAAGACTAGGAAGAGAGGCTGAGTTTCTAGTCCTACCATTTTTCTTAGGAAAGTCCATTTATATAAATATAAAGATGACAAATAGTATGAATTAGATCTGGAAACACCAGATCTAAGAGTTATATTATGGCATGCAGAAACAAAAATGGAAGTTTAGGAAACTTTTAGCACTGGGTTAAGACAGAGAGATATGGATTAAAAAATCAAATAGAATCAAAAATCTAGATATCTTCATGAATAACACAACCTGAGCAGTTCTTGAGGGAAATGTGGATGCATTGAGGCACATGTCTGATACTGTGAGGCTACTGTGAAAAGCAATTCTCGTCTCCCATGAGAATGCCCGCTGCGTCTCCATCATGGAGCGAATATTTCCATCTAATACAGCAAATCTTACATCTCTCAAAATAATAAGTGTGACTAACTAAATATTGTGGGTGAAAGGAGTTTGAAGAGGAAAGAGTAGAATTTGTCCAACTAAGAGTTTTTTATAAAACAAATTACCGTTTGTTCACTGCCTTCACCTATGGGAGGGCGGTAAATGATTCTGTATTTCTGCACGCGGCCACTAGCAGGATCCCACTTAACGGTCAAGCTGTTAGAGGTCGCATTGTACACCTGAAGGTTGCGTGGACCACTTTTTGGAGCTGAAAAAAAAGTTGTTGAGAAACATAGTAAGCACACAGAACAATGCATCCCCCCAAAATATGCATTGTTCCCTAGGAAATCAATGGAGCTGTAAAATCACTAGGTATAAAGCTAATTGGTCATTGAATCCTAACTAACTCCTTAGCAAAGTTTTTCTAGAAAGTCCTGTTTAAAATAGGTGCCGATCAATGCCTTGCAATTTAAAAGCAAGAAGCCTGTTTGCAATAGATTTAATGGTGCTTTTCTTTCCTTCTTTCTTTCCTTCCTTCCTTCCTTCCTTCCTTCCTTCCTTCCTTCCTTCCTTCTCTCCTTCCTCTTCCTCTTCCTCCTCTTCCTCTCTCTCACCCTCTCTCACCCTCTCTTTCTCCCGCCCCCTTCTCTGCATATCCATGACTCAGACTTAAAAATGTAACCCACAGCTCCACAAATCATTTGGTCATTCATACAATTCAGCAAACTAAATTCTTACCTTGAGTTGGTGCGGGTTTCACACGCACTAAAAAAAGAAATTTTGAAAAATATTAGTAATATAGCTATAGCTCTTCCTAAAAATTTATTTTAAAATAACGATAAAAGCTGAACACCTACTTGTGCGCTCACTACCAGTCAACCCATCACTTTCTGACTCATCAGGATAGATGGCAGTCACAGAAACTTCATAGAGAGTGTTTGGGTTCAAGTTTTCAAAAACCAAAGTATTCTCATCTCCATTTAAG